TCTAAAATGTTTATTTACTAAATAACAAGAAATGTATAAGAAATGCTTAAATCTTACCTTCATTGTGTCAATTTTGCCTTTGACCTGTTCATTTTTAGCTAGAGCCCTTTCTAAGCACTCTTTAGTATAGAGCTGGGGATTGCGGCCTTGATCTATATATCTAAGGAAATAAGTTTTGTAAGTCAAATTTGATAATGGGTTCACATATGATGCAAACAAGCATACAAGCCATCTATCCTTATTTTCTGAGACATACTAGAATATGTCTTCGATCTACAGTTAAGAATATTTTGCTAACCTATTCTTATATTATCACCAAGCATCTCATTCTATACACAAACCACTAAGAATCAATATAATGTGAACAATCTACTTTTGCCATCCAGAAATAAGTAATGTTTAAAGTAAAAGGTGGCAGCAAACCCTTTTTTAAAAAACATACAGAAGTAGATCTGGGGTCAGAACAAAGAGAACTAGGGGAAAGCATTAACATTACATAATTCTATAGGATAATTCTTAAAAAAAATCCATATGAACCCCGCACCCCCATGTTTAGACTATGCCATTACTCATATCCACAGTTTATTAAAAATTGACTAAGTATTGCTTATTAAACATCAACTGATGTAAAACTGTTCTTTTGTTAACAATACCAACATTAGAGCAAGATACCAAGTGTGAGGATGAAAGACATGCACTTACTCAAAAACTTCCAAAGGTACACTGATCTCATGAAGCTGCTGTCGGCACTTGTCAATATCTTGTAAGCCTGTAACCATAAAATTCCTAGGCAGAAACAAATTGGACACATTATGGGGAGAATCTATCATCAGGCAAAAGCTGAATTTGCTATCCCAGAAACAGCATCAACAGAAGTGTCACAAACAGCAACTCAAAAATACAAGGATTGGCAGATTTCCTTTTCTCCCTTAAAACTGATTTAAAAACTGCTTTTTAAAACAGGATTAGATAAATTAAGGGATTCCAAACTAACCCCAAAAGGCTCTCTGAAATCAATGCATTTTAAGTTAACCACTATTCATTAAAGTCATTACTAACTTGAGTACTATTAAATTGGGGTCCATCCCACAACACAATCTATTTCGACATGGTATCCAAGTCAAGTGAACAAAAGCAGGTGATAAATCTGGAGCTGGTAATAGCCTAAAGGCCCACACATTGAAGATGTGGGCAGGTGGTTCTCATGTCCCTAAATTGGATATGGTGCCTAAATTGGGTTTTCAGTCTTGAAAAACACTGTTCACAGCTTGAAGATATTTCTTGATTCATTAAAAGTCCCAAGAGGCTCAGGTGGCCTTGGTCATTACTAGCATCTTTTATAAGTTTCAGATTCAACTGGTTCACTCTCCAATAACCCTTCTAGTTGTATTACTTTGATATACTGAACCGAAGGCTGCTTTTAATGATTGCCCAGAAGCTTCAGCTAATGCAGGGATAAGCACTGTACTCAATACAGACAGAGTTATATGGAACTGTTTCTGAATGAGCTACAATTTGTTTCTAAGCCAAGTTTAAGATGCTAGTGCTTATATTTAAATATGGAAATAGACTGGGACCCAAATAAAACCAGGAATACTTCTCCTATGAACCTGCATGTTATCTAAGATCATCACATGAATTTCTTCTTGGTTCTAGCTCCCTACTATGGAATAGCTTCCACCAAAACTGTATTGTTTCCATACTCATTCAAAATCTTTTCATTCATCCAGGCATTTCAATTCGTTTAACTGGTTTAATTTAATTAAATTTAATTTGTTATATGTTCTAGTATATTTTTCTGCCTATTTTTGTTGTTATTTTGTGCTTTTATTTTATTCTGTATTATATTAGTTACACTTGTTATAGATTGCTCTAGTATGTATAAGGATGAAGGGTTTTAAAGATAGAAAGCAATGTGAGAAATTAAAAAACCCTAAGTAACAGGTGCTATGGAGGCAAACAAGGATGGAGATACAGAGATGGAGGGCAGGGATGCCTGTTTGAAACAATCCAGAAGCATCTGGGTTTTCAAACCAGAGTAATGAACTAGACAAGCATTTGGTCCAATCTGGACAACTATTTCACAGGTGCAGATACAGAAGTAACTTACACCAATAAGAAATCGCAGTACTAATTGCACAAAGAATAAGTGGAGTAACAGGGTGAAGCAAAAAGGAACTCTTCAGTAGCATATGTGGGAACTCCATCATGTTTTAAATTCCAGAAAGAAAAGCTTCAGGAGGGCCTCTCTAGGATCCTGGGCAATTCTCTTATAGTGGTCATTATGTATTAATTCAATAGTAATAAGTACAGTCTGGTACATAAAGCTGTTTATGCTTCTTCTTTCTTCCAACACTCATTTTTACATTGCAACCCATTACTGTAAGCCGCCTTGAGTCCCTGTACTGGGAGGAAGGTGAGATATAAATAAACAGAATGATAATAATAAGGATGATGTACATAGCAAGGCAACATGAGTGCACTGGAACAGTAACATATACATGTAGCACATAAATGTGCTTATTTATACTTTGTTTTTATGCAAAAGTCATTCAAAAATGTGGCACTACACCAGCGGTTCTCAAATAGTGGGGTGGGCCCCCCGGGGGGGGTGCGAGGGGGGGCCAGTTACAGCTGGAGAGAGGAAGATTGTCCCAGCGCAGCCCCAGTAGCAGCCCGACGTGCTCTATCCTGATTGGTCAAACCCGCCCATGTGACTATTTATAGTCGCGCGGGGGGGGCGCGAAATGTTTTCTTCTTTCCTAGGGGGGGCGTGACAGAAAATAATGGAGAAGCACTGCACTACACCAACCATTTCAGTCCAGCTAACTAGAAGGAACACTTTAAAAATGTAAGACTCTACCTCAGAGGTAGGCAACCTTTCCCTTTTAAGGGCCGAGGGACTTCAGCTCCCAGAAGCCTTAGCCATGTTGGCCAATAGTCCCATGTTGGCCAATAGCTCCTGGGATTCTGGGAGCTGAAGTCCCTCGGCCCTTAAAGAGGAAAGGTTGCCTACCCCTGCTCTACCTGCTAGATCAGCCATAGGAGGAGGAGGAAGGCAACACAGCCCCTTAACTCTAGGAATGCATCCAGACTGCATAAATAATCCAAGTTGACACCACTTTAACCACCACGGTTCAATGGTAGGGAATCCTGGAATTTTTAGTGGCAACAGGATTTTCCAACAGAGGTATTGTGTGCTTTCAATTCATTTCTGACTTATGGTGACCATAAGGCCAACTTATCATGCGGTTTTCTTTGCAACATTTGTTAAGAGGAAGTTTGCCATTGCCTTCCCCTGAGGCTGAGAGAGTATGACTCAGCCAAGTGGATTTCCATGGCCAATCTGGGAATCGAATCCTGGTCTCCAAAGTCTTAGTCCAACACTCAAACCACCACACCAAAGGGCTAAATATCTCATCAAATTACGGTCCAAAACACATTGCAGAAATAATCCCGTTTGAGACCTCTTTAACTGCCCTGGCTCGGTACTAGGGAATCCTGAGAATTATAGTTTGTTGTGGCACCAGAACTCTTTGACAGAGAAGGCTCAATGTCTCACAAAACTACAGTTCCCATTATTCCCTAGCGTTGAGTCAGGATAGTTCAATCTGGATTATTTCTGCAGTGCGGATGCAGCCAAGGGATCTTGTGGCACCTTTGAGACTACGGACCTGTACAGACTGCCAGAAATAATCCAGTTTGAGACCACTTTAACTGTCCTGGCTCAATGCTAGGGAATCGTGGGAATTGTAGTGTTTGTTTGTTTTTCTGAGACATTGAGCCCTCTCTGTCAGAGAGCTCTGGTGCCACAATAAACTACAGTTCCCATGATTCCCTAGCACTGAGGGCAGTTAAAGTGGCCTCAATCTGGATTATTTCTGGCAGTCTGTACAGGCCCCAAATTAAAGAAAGAAACTGGCAGCATCGTGAGTTTTCCTGGACTTGTGTCTATTTCCTCAGATGCCAAAACCCATTCTTACCAAGCTTCTTTATTTCGATTTGTCTCAAAGGTGCCACAAGACCCCTTTCCACACTGATATTCCAGACTTAACACGGCGATGTCTTTGCACTGGACTAGCAAGGAACGTTTTAACATGTTGCACCCCGCCTCGAGCCCTGAAAAATTATTATTACTGTTATTGTTATTATTTATTGGAACTCCCTCGTGCCCTTCGAGAGGCGCTCACAGTTTCTGGTTGAGGCCGGCCTGGCTGCTGGGCTGGAAGTCGCTGACGATGATGCCCAGCTGCCGGATGTTCTCTACAAACTTCTCCAGGTGCTCCTCCAAGGAGTCGAACTTCTCCGCCATCCCCCTCCGACCGGCGGCCCTCACAAGGCCTACACGCTCTTCTCAAGACCCCGTTGCTAGGAGCGCCGCCATAGATACCAAGAATCCCACTTCCGCTTCCGGCGCAGGGGTCGCTCTGCCACCTCCTCCCCGAGAAGCCCTGGTTCTCTCCTAGGATACGCTCTAAAGCGCGCCTCCCTCCCGTACGCATGCGCGGGTAGCTTCGTTGTGTGCTTCCACAGCCCTTTCCTCAATCCTTCCTTTCAGTGCAAGAAACATATTGAGAAATAACCGCGTTGGCCATTGTTATTGTTGCGTTTCTGACTGGTGGCGACCCTATCACGGGGTTTTCTTGCCAAGTTTCTTCAGAGGGGGTTTGCCATTGCCTTCCCTTAAGGCTGAGAGAGTGTGACTTGCCTAAGGTCACCCAGTGGGTTTATGTGGCTTCATGGGAAATTGAACCCTGATCTCCCAGAAGAATCCTAGTCCGACATTCAAAACCATGACACTGGTGTCCCAAGCACAACAAACTGGTGGCCCAAGTACAACAAAACTGTTTACTTGGGTCTAAGACTGTAAATAAAAATTGATTGGTCGAACAAAACTGTCAGGGTATTTTCTTGGAAGATGTGTTCAGAGGGGGTTTGCCATTGCCATCCTCTGAGGCTGAGAGAGTGTGCCATGCCCAAGGTCACCCAGTGCATTTACATGGCCAAGCAGAGAATCGAACCCTGGTCTCCAGAGGCATAGTCCACTACACAAACCACTACGCTACACTGACTTGACCATATAGCAAAGTACAATAACATCCAAAATTCACAAAATAGTGATACCTTTATTGGAGCAACAAAATGCACAATATACATGATGCCAGCTTTTGGAGCTCCACAGGCTTCTTTGTCAGGCAAAGATGTTAAACGTAATAGTGAAGGAAAAAATAATAAAAACATGAGGGTGCCATGACATTAGTCACAGGCCTAAATTTTGTCAAGATGTGTAGTTCTGTGTTGAGATGCTGTGGAAGGATGTCTATGCAAGCGGGTCCCTCCTGGCCATGTGCAAGGCGACCAGATATCCTCCTTTTCCAGGATATGTCCTACATTTCAACTTTCTGTCCAGGAGGAATTCCAAAATGCCCTCCATTTTTAGCATACATGATGAAGATGCGGCATGAATTTATGTTAGGATTTGTAGCGGTTATTTTGTAATGTCTTACTTTTTTTCTTGAATGTCCTACATTTTGCGGTGCCTTGACCTTCTTTGTAGTAATGACAACTGGTCACCCCAGCCATGTGGGCCTGGGAATAAAGCATTCCAGAGTCCAGGAGATAAGATTTGAATTTCACTAGCAATACAAAAAAAAGGTGATTCCTCAAATTTTATCTCCTGGACTCTGGAATGCTTTGTTCCCAATTCTACATGGCCAGAGGGAGGAATAATGGCTTGCATAGATAACCCTCCATGCCATCTCAACACAGAACACCACCACAACAACATCTTGACAAAATGCAAGCTTGTGACTAACATAATTTAAAAAAAAAACACTCACCTTTACAATTTTTAATGCCTGATGAAGAAGCCATTGGAGCTTCAAAAGCTTGCATCATGTATTCGGTGCATCATGTATTTTGTGGATTTTGGATGTTACTGATCTTTTTACTGCAGTCTTTGTTCTGCTCAGTGTTTAATCAAAGATATGGGAAATCTTTAACTATTTCAATTTCCTCATTGTCTAGGTTGAATTTATGTAAATCCTCTGTGGTCATTATTTTTGTTTTCTAGTAAGCCTGCCTTTAGCTCTTTCTTTGACTTTCTCCAGCAGTTGTCCCAAGTCTTTGTTGTTTTCTGCTAGTATTACAGTGTTGTTTGCATATTTTATCTTGTTGATATTCCTTTCTCCTGTCTCCATTCCTCCTTTCTTTGAAGTCTGATGTTTTTCTCCATACAAGTTGAACAAATAGGGTCATAAAATGCAGCCTTATCTGAATCGCTTTCCAGTTGGGAACCAATCTGTTTCTACTACAATGGCTAAGCTTTGTCTTCTTTCACCTATGGTGTTTGTTTGTTTTTTTAAAAAAAGTTTATTTTTCTTCACATTTCAAATAATAAATTCAATGGTTTGTTTTTAGAATTAATTCTAAAAGGTATATATTTGCATTCAAATCAACTCCAATTTATGGTAACCTTGCAGAGTTTTTTGGCATTATTTATTCAAAGGATTTGTTCTGATAGAAAAATTATGTATTTAAGATGTGGCAAATGAGAATTAATAAATTCATCTTTAACAAGGGAAGACCCAGATTTGGAAAATCTATTAGGTATGTTAATTCCAAAAATGTTGGGCTAGCAATACCTGATATAAGATTTTATTTTCAAGCTTTTAATTAGACTAGTTTATCCAAACTATCAAGTAAACATACAGCACTAGATGGGTCAAACCAGAAATAAACAACAGTTTCTCAACAGAGTTTAATCTTACATTTTCTAAAATTACAAGAAAGTCACAATTTAAGAAGTGGAAAGATTAGCCTAAAATTTATCATCCCACTTAAAACAGAGTAAAGCCAACTGCTTCCAAATACATGAGATCACCTCTATTGCCTCCTATTTACCATCAGTGGTTGCAACCCCATGTGCCTTAACTTTTTACAAATCTCTCTGTTCAAGTATACACCAGGAAAGAGGTGATGCCACATCTACAATTGGCCCTCCGTTTTCACTGGGGATCTGTTCTGGACCCCCCACGAAAACGGAGATTCGCAAATATTCAAGCCCCAGAGGCTGATTTAAATGGAGGTCGCCCTCTGTGAATATGCAAAACTAAGGACTTCATGTCCGCAAGAACAGAGGGCCGGCTGTATATGCAAACAACTTCTTGAAAGTGTAAATAGAAAAGGTCAGTTTATCAGACCTGCATAGCAGTTAGATTTAAGGATGGAGATTTCTGAATCCAGCATGTCCTGCATTTGGCCCTCCCCTCCTTCTACCTCTACCAGCTAACACCAAAGAAGGGGCTCTTAAAATTATACATAAATGGTACTTAACATCCATCCGTTTGTCAGGAATGGTGAATAACATACTATCAAGATGCTGGAGGGGATGCAAAGCCTCAGGTTCACATAATGATAAGTGGTTAGACTATCCCAAGTTAAAATGCTTTTGGAATGCAGTTCTGAATCAGATTTCAAACATCACATACCAAACTATCCAATTTTGCCCTAGGCTTTTATTACTTTCTATTTACAGTAAAGAAAACAGCCACCTAAAACACAGAAACCTTATCTCATTTCTTATAGCAGCTGCATGAGCCGAAATGGTTACGTGTTAGAAAATGGGATCTCAAGTTAGATAACTGGTGGAAGAGAGTGGGATGCTTGGCTGATGGAAAAACTCTCATATAATATTTCAGTTAGGGTTGCCATTTCCCAGTTTTTCCCAGAACAATCCCGGATTGGAGGGTCTAAAAAATGTCCCGTCCTGGCTGGGCATTTTAGACCCTCCAATCCTGGATACTTGCCTTGTTCGAGGCCACATTTTGTCAATATCTAGTCCAGGGGTAGGCAACCTTTCCCCTTTAAGGGCCGAGGGACTTCAGCTCCCAGAAGCCTCAGCCATGTTGGCCAATAGTCCCATGTTGGCCAATAGCTCCTAGGATTCTGGGAGCTGAAGTCCCTCGGCCCTTAAAGGGGAAAGGTTGCCTACCCCTGCTCTAGTCGGATTGGAGACTGAGAAAATGTGCCCAGGAAAAGACAGGAACGGTTGGCTGAGCTTGGCCTCAGCTCTTCCTCCTTTCCTCCTCCTCTTTGGCGCATGAGCCAGCAGCCAAGATGGTGGCTACTGCCGGCCTGAGCGCTCTACCGCAATGTTCCGTGTTGAGCCAGGCCCAGACTGCAAGGAGGAGGCCCACTTACAGATACAAGAAGGGGAAGCTCAGGGAGGGAGGGATGGGGCTCAGCCGTGCGGACCGAGGCCTCGGCCGAGACCCAAGTTTTCCAGCATGGCGGTGAGACCTCCTGCAGCCCCTGGGCCTGGTGCGGCCACCATGCAAGGACTCAGTCAGCTGGCCAAGCCCCAAGGCCTCCAGTGCATTTATATTAATGGTTATTTAAGCGTATTAATGTTTTTGGCTTTTGGTTGGCTGTGTCCTCCATTTTTCTCGAATGTCCTACATTTTGCCTAGATTTTATCCTACATTTTGTCCCAATTTTGTGGCAGAGAATTATGGCAACCGTAATTTCAATGGACACATAAAGAACAACATGTTTCAAGAAGATTGGTTTGTCTTTACTGAATATATTAACAGCAGTTGAAGGCCCAATCTCACCAAGTTGACTTTTGGAAAGACACTGCATCTTGACTCCTCTCTTCCTCAAAATGACAATCCAACACACTTCAGACCATCTCTGTTTTGGCAAGAATTTAAAAACTCTTTGGTCTGCTTCTTTGTGATATAAACTGAAATACATGACCTGCTGTTCCACATCCCAACCCTTTGCGTATTTTTATATGTTTTTTTTAAATTTTTCATGCTATTGTTATGAAAAGTCTTTAATAAAAATTGTGTATTTATTGTGACAAAGAGGACAGATGTAGGCAGCTAAATTCTGCATGCTTACCTCCAGCTTCTACCATATATAATAAAAATTATTTCCAGAGAAGTGTGCCCAAGAATGCAGCACAGCCAATCTTCTGTGTGCAGTTATCTCAGAAGAAACTTCATCTAACTCACTTGGAATTTTTGTGAGTAAAATTACATCAGATAAAATTCAGAGATATAGTTTTATTAGTCTGGAATACCAGTATGTGAAGGGATCATGTAGCACCTTTGAGACTGTGGAGATTTTCACATGGGCAAAAGTGAAGGGAGCATAGTGGGATGCTTCTGCCACTATCACGCAATTGTGCAAAGATTATCAGACAATGTTGCCTGACATCATGATAATCATGTCATTATCCTGTGAATAAAGAGGAATTCTGCCATTGATTTTTATTCATGTGACTTTCCCATGAATAAAAAGTGATGCTAGAATTCTTCTTTATTCATGAGATAATGAAGTGATTGTTGAAACTTCATACAATGTTATCTGATAATCTATGTGCGATTGCACAATAGTGACAGGAGTATCCCACTATGCTCCTGTCACATTTGCCCATGTGAAAATCTCTTGCGTGTAAGAAGTTGAAACATAACTTTTGTAGGAAACTTCAAAATGACCTCTAGGGGTTGTGGAGGCCTTTCCACCACATTTGGACCCTTCTTCCCCTTCGGACTCCCACAAGTCAAAATAAATTTGCCCACTAGGGATCAAGGAAGGCTCAAAAACATGGTGAAAATGACCCCAGAGAATGTTCGGTGGCATCTGGGTGCAAAAAAGGTTTTGCTTTTTGCATGAGCAGGTGCAGTGGGGATGTGACTAATACACTCCCTAGCCTTCCATATCACGTTTTTCATCACTGTAACAAGCAATAGAAAGTGGCTATTTTTTAAACACTGTAATTCCCAAGCTCTAAGGGGCTGTCTACATGGGTTAAGAGCCCATGTTCCCCCTGGCCCCGTGTTGTCCCATTCAGGTGACACAGGCCAATACGCCTAAGCTGAGACCAGGCAGACTAGGTGCCAGTCCAATAGTTCTGGTCTTATCCTGTTGCAGTTTGCCACTGAGTTTCTCCAAACCTCCATGGCAACCCCAGCAGACCGAACAGGCCTGTTCACCCCTTACATCCCTCCATCATTGCCACTACAGAGACATAGCAGGATCATGGCACAGCAGTGGGCATGTA